ATTTGCTCGTACTTACTCAAAAGCTGATGGGTTGATTAGTTTATGGAAAAATAAGAAGAAGAAAAAAAGCACCGAGTGACCCCTACGTACTAGGTAACCTAGCCCACTCCACTCCACCGCAGAGCTCCCAGTAGACTAATCCTCATCAGTAATCTTCTGCTCCACTCCTTCCGGTACCCGGTGCTCGAGCGAGGCTGTTGTTTCCACGGCCTTTCGGATTTGTTGCATGGCTATCCCCGCCAGCTCCGAAAAGGAAGACGAACGAAGACCCAAGACCCAACCAACAACTTGAACACAGCGCGAATGTCGGTAATGATGTGTAATGACCTGATTAAAAAGTCTGGCGCAACCCTCTTGTTTCTCAGCTCTTTATTTTCTTCTCCCTTCAGTCCTTGGATCATCCGTAAGCCACCAGTTGGGATTCCCTTGAGCTCTTGGTTCTTATACTTCCAGTCCGCTCTCCCACCGCACCGCACTCGACCGTCGGTCCTTTGCATACACAGCAGCCCTACCACCTCAGCCGACAACTCTCTTCCTAATTCTGGAGGTGCCGTCTCCTCAGTCTAGGAAACCGTTGTCGGGTGCCCAAGCAAGCTCGTAGCTCTTGCGCTCCATAATTATTCTTTTGTCGCATTTCATTCTTGTCGCAAACCAGATTTAAGCTTGCGCTCATGTGGCAGCGAGCTTCCAGTGCCGCGCTCGCGGCGTCCTTCTTCCTAATCTCAGTTGCGAATGCTATTCCGCATGGAGATGATGAGGGAATGCACATGGACAGCGGCATGGACATGTCCAGCCACGATTCGCAACCCAAGGAAAACACACAGTCCACGGACGACTCGCCTATGAGTTATTTTGCCCATGGCAAGCATAGCGGCGCAATCATGGCGCACATCGGTCTAATGGTAGCTGCCTGGTGCTTCATCCTCCCAATCGGTAAGTTCTTCTCCTACTTCCAATTCAGATCTCCATCTCGCAAGCCAGGCGCACGCGAGGCTAACAAAGAGTTTGCAGCGGTCATGCTCAGTGTTGGACGATCCCGCTTTGCCTTGCCGTCGCAATTCCTCTTCCTGGTGCTAAATGCGGTTGGCATGCTTGTCGGGATAATCTACAACAGCCAGACCCCGGATCTGTACGAAAATAACGCCCATCACAAGATTGGCTGGATCGCAACCTGGGTTATCAGCGCTCAAGTGATTATGTCGTTGATCTTCGCCTACGCCGGACGAGGGGAGACGGAAAACAGTTCCTATGAACGCGCAGCTTTCCTTCCTGTGTCGACCGATGAAATGGCCGATAGCAACCACACCTTCCCTACTGGCCCTCGTCACTCATATCGTTGGTCGAGAGATAGCGGGCAGGGAACTGAGAGAAATTCATCGTCGATCCACTGTCCAGAGTCGCCATCGTGTGCATCCGCATCGGACGAGTACGACGGCTTCGAAAAACCCGAAGACCCTGTCCCTGAGAACCCCCCTCAGTCACACAGGCCCATGCGCATCCCCATTATTGACCGCTTCCTGGCCAGCCGTGTGCCGGGTATGGTGTCCAACCGTGTGCTCCGCGTCCTTTCGGTCATCTATAAGATCATAGACACGATTATCCTACCTTTCGGCTTTGTCGCTCTTGTGACTGGCTTTGTGACTTACGGCGGTATTATGGTATGATCATCGCTTCAATAATTTTATGAACAGCTCTAGCTGACGTGTGACACAGCGCGGCAAGGAAGTTTTCAACGGTCTTGCGCACTTCATCAAGGGTGGAATCTTCGTGTGGTACGGTCTGTTGACACTAGGACGAATGCTTGGCTGTTGGGCAGATCTCGGCTGGGCCTGGAATGTGAAACCGTCCAGCGCTATTGTTGGTAAATGGAAGGCCAAAGTCCCCACTGGAGAGTTCACTGAGTCGTTCGTGATATTCCTCTATGGTGCGAGTAACATGTTTCTGGAGCATCTCACAGGTTGGGGCGGCAAGTGGACTGCGACCGACTTTGAGCATGTCTCGATCTCCATCATGTTCTTCGGTGGTGGACTGTGTGGCATGCTTTTCGAGTCGAAACGCGTCAAGAGCTGGTTGAACAGCACTGTCTTGCAATATCCATCCCACATGAACGCTCATGCCTCCAGCGATACTGCTTGGCAGCTTCCTGACACTCAGGGCGTTTCCCTCAACCCTATGCCTGCATTAATTATCCTTCTGCTGGGCATGATGATGGGTTCTCACCACCAAGACAGCATGGTATCAACAATGGTGCACAAGCAGTGGGGCAACCTTCTCGTCGGATTTGCGCTTGCTCGGGGTGTGACTTATGTCCTGATGTACCTGAAGCCACCTACCTCCTACCTGCCTGCTCGTCCACCAACTGAGATCGTGGCTTCCTTCTGCCTCATTTCTGGTGGCTTGGTTTTCATGCTTAGTGTAAGTTGTTCGCTGGCGATAATGCCTAAAAAGCTAGGAATCAATTAGCTAACTTTTGTGCAGACACGCAGCGTGATTCAGGCCATCGAATACTACGACCTCGATGCGATGTTTGTGTTCACTGTCACCATGGGCTTGACCGCCTTTGTTATGGCCTACGAGATCCTCTCGATCGCCCTCAAAGCCTGGGCGGTGAAGCGGGAATCCCGTCCCCAGCTGCCACCTTATCAGTTCCCCGCCTGAGTGAAAATATTATCTACATCGTGTATACTGTGTTTGCTGAGAGACGCTCTCAAGGACATCCCAGGAGCACTCTACGGTTGAGGATGCACGAAAAAGAACCACACGCGAAAATAAAGATTTGCTTTCTACAGCATTATACCCCCCACGGATATCGGTTATCCTTCGGCCTGGTGTTGGAGCGCAGGATTCGAGCTCTGACGATGAACATGACCCCATTTACCATGGCCTATTTGCGATGAATTTTGTCTTAATGTGATTACCACGAATGAATGATCTGCTTGAAACTTTCAGGCAATAATGAGGAGGATATGATGGCCATTTAGTTAGCAAGTTGATACCTGACAATCAGGGCTTAATATGTGAACATTTAGTACTATGTACAGAATTGATCCCGACTTTTGGAGTTTGACTCGGTGACGAGATATGTGAAGTAGTTTCATAAACATTTTTGAGACTTGCCCTGCTGCCGGGCAATTGTAGTTATACATAGTGGCTGTACAGATGCTGATCCCGGGGCTAAGCCGATAAGTCCGAAGCCTACCAAAGCTTAGCCAAAAGAAAAAGAGTGGGCAGGAAAAAAAGAGAATGGCGACGGTTGGCCCGACGTCGGCACGAGGAACTTGCCGCCTCGGCAATTTGGCAAGTTGCCGGTTGAGTTACTGTCTCAATTGTCTCACATATGAATGGTTTCACAAACAGAGAAACGTGTTTGACACTATAGTCAGTTGATTCATCACACGAAATGTGGAAATTCGAAGAGAGCAGACTGCAATATGCTGCTTTGCGACGGAAATTCTAGAGTCGATCCATGATGTAAGGTGAATTCGAGGATTAGTAAGGGCCACGCCATTTGGTGACTTGCCTAATCTAACCGTGGAACCTTTCCCTAGGAGGGGCGACAAGTGGGGAGGCAATAGAGGGGAATCTCGAAGCCACTGCATGCGCAAATTACTCCAATTCGGGGCAAATTCAGGGTATATATCCCGCCGTATCTCACCTTCTGGCTTTCCTGATATCCAACCATTTTTCACATCTTAGTATTCTCTTTCAGAGCATCCACCCTTCTTCCCCCCAACCTTTACACATCACAATGGCGTCCAACCCTCCCGGAGCTTGCTGTGCCCAGGGCTTCAAGCACGAAGGCACCCCCGTTGGTGAGGTCAAGAACGTCAATGGCGGTAGGTTGTCTTTACCAGGCTTTTCGTGTGCAGGGAACGATCCCACTGACAGGGTTTATGCTGCAGTTGACTACTACATCACCTACCCCAAGGACAACAAGACCCCCGAGAAGGCTGTTCTCTTCCTGAGTGACATTTTCGGTCTCTTCAACAACGCCAAGCTGCTCGCTGATGAGTACGCTGCCAATGGCTACCTTTGCGTGATCCCCGACCTGTTCAACGGCGACGCTATCCCCGTCGCTGAGATGGAGGCCGGAAAATTCGACATTGGCGCTTGGTTCCCTAACCACCAGCCTGCCAACGTTGACCCTATCGTCGAGGCTGCCATCAAGTACGTCAAGGGTGACTTGGGTGTCAAGAGACTTGCTGCTGTCGGCTACTGCTTTGGTGCCAAGGTGAGCCCTCACTTCAGTGATGAGCCAGTCTCTGTACAATGTAGACATGCTAACAGTATAATGTGCATTAGTACGTCTGCCGTTTCATGAAGGAGGGCAAGGTCGACGTTGGCTTCAATGCCCACCCCTCTTTCGTTACCCACGAGGAGCTCGGCGCTATCACCGGTCCTCTCTCCATTGCTGCTGCTGGTAAGCTTCTATGCTCTCGTAGTGGAGCCCTCTCGCGTCGTAATTCGTTGCTAATTCACCCCATCTTCAAACAGAGATCGACACCATCTTCACCACCGAGCTTCGTCACGAGTCCGAGGGCACCCTGATCAAGACTGGTCAGCCCTGGCAGATCAACCTGTTCAGCGGCGTCTCCCACGGTTTCGCTGTTCGTGCCGACCTTAGCAACAAGCACTTCAAGTGGGCTAAGGAGCAGGCTTTTTGCCAGGCCATTGCCTGGTTCCGCCAGTACCTGTAAATGCTTAAAATGTACTGTACATAATGTGGGCCCGGATGCCCTTAAGAATTTTCATCATTAGTCAATGAACAGACATGAGTAATGACAGGCTTCAATTATGCTGCATTTCTTTATAGATGCCTGCAATGGGTGAAGTAAGTTGAGAGTAAGATCGAGCATCTTTGACAGAATGGATTGTTCCACGTGACCCCGGTGGTTGGCACAGGGAAAAAGGCCGTCGGCGAGAACAAGTCAGCTTTTACTGTCCCGGAGCGAGAAGAGCCAACAAACACACTTGAGGAAGCACTGCGCCGGTGGATTTCTCCTTTCCCCTGACTTGCGGGGCAATTGCGCTAATTTGTCGATTGTATGTCCCCCTTTGCTTCGTGCGGGCTTGATTGCTGGCTTCTTGCGACCCTTTCGCGTGTTTACCTCTCATCCCTCCGCCGTGGCGTGTCGGGCTGACGAAAGCAGTCATCTTTTACACCCTTGATCTATCGCTACCTTTCCAAACGTCGACTCTCGCCTCAGCCCGGATCACTAGTCTCTCCTTGACAAACAGCGTCCACTACCGAACCGATCCACTGCCCCCTCGAACGACCGTGCGCTTGACGCCTTCAAAAGCCTCGACCGGCCCTCATCCCATAGAGACGACATTGGTGTTTAAATCTCAAGCCACACGGTCTAGCTCCGACTCTGTACTTTAATATAATTATTTGTGATCTACAACTCGAATACCCAACATCATGGCTACTCCGGCCGCTTTACCGCCACTGCCGTTCAACCCTTCGAGGGTCCGGTCCTACGTTCTTCGCCTCCCTCTTTTCACTCGGCTTGTGCTCTTAGCGATCATCGTGTTCTGGTTACTCGAATTGCAGACGGTGTGGAGTGTTAAACAATGGGGTTCGCTGATACCAGAGGAAATCAACATTGGCACCAGTATGAACAGCCTCCAGTCTCTTGCAAGGAGTACACAAGGACAACGTACATCTGACATGAGAACACAGTGTATCGACTTAACACATACCCATTCATCCACTTCGGATTTTTTCATGCCTTCCTGAATCTCCTGGCTCTCACTCCATTGTTGGAGCGGTTCGAGGCCGAGCATGGCACATTGACAGCAGTCGCTCTGTTCTTTGGCCGTAAGTCAAATCCAGCCCGCCCATACTCCGGCTTTGTTGCTGCAGCAGAGACACTAACTGCGGTGACTACACATCAGCTCTTTCGACTTTTCCGGCGGGCGCGTATATTCTGATCGAAAGATTCGTCTTGCACAGAAATACCGAAGTTTTTGGTGCCAGGTGAGTGACTCTGGCCTGGTATTGGGGGTCCTCGAGGGGCGTCTAACAGATCTTTCAGTGTTTGGGTCTTCCTGCTCTTGGGGTCGGAAGCCATTAGAACCTTTAAATCCAATCCGTACTTCAGGTAGGTCAAAACTCCCGGAACACATGCATTGGAACGTGAATTGACGCTCCGTCAGCCTTGGGCCGTACAAGATCCCTACGTGGACCTCCCCCTTGTTTGCTTGTGGCCTGGTCTCGATTTTTATCCAGAATGCGAGTCTTCTGGGCCATCTCTGCGCCATCTTAGTGGGCTATCTGTGTAAGTACTCTGCCTTGTGCACCTGCTTGCTTCTGGTTTCCGCTTTTCTAACAGACTGGATTAGTCGGTCTCGGGTATCTGAAAGTTTTCGTCCCCCCTGAGAAGGTTCTGAGATGGATTGAAGGGAAATTGAACCTTCTGGGAAGACTGCCACACTATGTCTCGGTGGACCAGAAGACATTTGGTCGGTATGGTGTTCTTCCGACCACGACTGCCGGGGGCGAGAGGGCGACTCCAATGAGCTATCTAGGCTCCTCGCAGCGTCTGGGTGCTTGAGAACTTAATAGACGGGTCATCCTCTAGCCTATCATTCTTGTGCATATATTATACATTCTACTATACGTGAATTTCTATGTAATGTGTAAAAGCGAGTTATGGAAGGAGCGAATATTATTTAATGTGATTGTTTGGTGTCAATCATATCAACAATAACTTAACTTAGCGGCTGACGTAAATTCGCGGGCTGCTCTGGCCAAATCGCCGCCGATTGATCGCTCCGTACCCGTTCAGCTGTAGCAATAACAACTCTTCCATGGGACGGAGTCCCTAAATGTCGCAACCTCCATGGCTCTGAAATGTGAGTTGGCTCAATACCATGGGCACTATTGAGAGAGTTTCTGCGTGCTTCTTGCCTTTCTCTATCGGCCCTGCCTATCCCTGATTGCTACCGTCACCACCCTGTTTACCCCGGATTGCCCACGGCGGGCGAAACAACACCTCGGATCGATTCAAACTCATGCTGACAGAAGAACCATGGCAGCCGCAATCCGCAGACTGCGGCGCAATCCCCATTTCCTCTTCGTCCATCTGCCGCATATTCTCTCCTTCCTCTGCATCGTTGCAGGCGTCGTCTGGCTGCTCCTCCTTCCCCTCAACGATTACTCCCGCCAAACGTACATCTCCGAAAACGCGCTCTTACCCGGTCAGGTCCACGCATATTTCTCCGGCAGTGAACAGCACATCTTCCGGGGATACAAGAAGGAGCTAGAGGCGATCCTGGAGCGCCAGACGCCAAGTGAGCAAGACAGCAGAAACGACGAATTCACCCCGGCGTATGTTCACCTTCTCTGCCAAATAACCCTTTTCGCTCCGTTGAGAAAGGCCATGTCTTGCTGATGGAGGTTTTCAATTCGAACTCAGTGTTTCCGATAAGGTCCAGTCGATCTTGCGAGCTGCAGGACTCAAAGTCGCGACGCAGAAGTACGAGTACACTTCATCGGGGATCACCCATCAGGGGCAGAATGTCTACGCGATTATTCAAGCACCGCGGGGTGACGCTACTGAAGCCATTGTGCTGGTCGCGGCCTGGAAGACTGCCAATGATGAACTGAATCTGAATGGTGTAAGCCTTGCGCTGACGCTGGCGGGATACTTCAAACGTGCGTGATCATTTTCCGGCTCCAGCGGAGCAGCGGCAGCAGCTGCTGCTACCGAAGACGTTTTGATTTTTGCTGACTGGGTTTGCGCTTTACAGGTTGGTCCTTATGGTCGAAGGATATCATCTTCGTGTTCCCACCGGACAGTAAATCGGGCACCCAGGCGTGGATTGACGCCTACCATGATATGCAACCGGCATTTGTGCAGCCGCTGCCCTTGAAGAGCGGCGCGTTGCAGGGAGGCTTGGTGATTGAGTATCCCTTCGATCATCGGTTTGAGTCACTTCATATTCTTTACGATGGCGTCAACGGCCAGCTGCCCAATCTGGACCTGTTCAACACGGCTGTATCGATTGCTGGTGGCCAAATGGGTATTGGTTCCAACCTGCAAGAAATGTGGGATCACAATGACAGCTATGAAATGCGGCTGCAGACAATTCTGCGAGGCATGGTCAAGCAGGGCTTCGGCTACGCCACGGGTGCGCATAGCAGTTTCATGCCATACCATATTGACGCCATCACGCTGCAGCCCAAGGGCGACGGTTGGCAGGATGAGATGGCATTGGGCCGTACCATCGAGGGTCTCTGTCGCAGTTTGAACAATCTCCTGGAGCATCTGCATCAGAGCTTCTTCTTCTACCTGCTTATGCAGACCAACCGCTTCGTCAGCATCGGTACCTATCTACCCAGCGCCATGCTGATTGCCGGAAACTTTACCATTATGGCCATTGCACTCTGGCTACGGACGGGATACTATATCGGCTCGGAGCAAACTGCCGTCAAGCCTCCAACAGTAAGCGCAGGAGAGACGAATAAGCAAGTGGCTGTTTCGACGGAGAAGTCCGGTGCGAACACCGCGCAGCAACCAGCCGTCAAAACCGACTCAAACAGCATCATCGAGCGACAACTTGCCCTGCCGCTCACCCTTGTCGTCGGCCTCCACCTCCTCGGTCTCATCCCTCTCTACATTTTCAATAACATCAACCACCAGGTTCGTGCCCGTCCACTCCCCTTTACCGTCCACAAGAGTTCACATGCTAACCTCAACCACAAGTACTACCCAACCGCAACCTACGCCAGCATCGCCATCAACGCCATCCTCCCCATTGCACTTGCGGCCTGCCTCACCCGCGGCCTGACGACCACCCCGCGGGAACAGTCGCAACAATCCCTGCTCATCAAATCGTTCTCGCTCCTCCTCCTCGGCCTCTTCCTCTCCACGCTCGCCACCCTCAACTTCTCCCTGTCCTTCATGATCGGTCTCCTCTGCACCCCGCTCAGCTTCGTCAACCGCATCGACCCGCGCACCGCCTCCCGCCCCCTGCGGTCCGTGCTCGCTGTCGCCGGCCTCGTCCTCTTGAACGTACTGTCCCCGCCCGTCGTCCTTCTCGGGGCGTGCTGGTATGTCGGGGTCGACGTGGAGACGGTCCTCACGCGGGCGGCCTTCGGGTGGGACGTCTGGGGCATGTGGACCCAGGTGGTGGTCTGGTGTGTCTGGTGGCCCGCCTGGGTGACTGGGTGTGCTTTGTTGGGGTTCTCCCTGTTCTAGAGCTTCTTGTTTGTTTCTGAAGGGTAGGTAGAGCATCATACAAGATGGCTTTGCTTTACTTGCTCGTCTGCTTGAACGCTTTGTATAATATACTATAAATCTTGTTAGGGCTACTATAGAAATATCCCTCTCGTTGTAGTTCTGCGTGGTACGGATTTCTCCTGGATAACTGTTATGGTGTAGGTTCCAAGTGGGGAAGTGCCATTCCATACGCTTTAAATTATGGTAAGTGACATATAGTAAAAGTCTAGTACTTCGTACATGAACTGCAGATGACTTACTCTTCTCACGTCATATGGGGGTTTGGAGAGTAAATGATGGGGGAGAGGGGGGGGGGGGGCCATGAGAAACAGGTGGTGGGGCATAAGATGGTTGTTGTGGTTGTAGTAGAGTAGTTAAGGTATCTGGTTCTAATCTTTGGAATTATCTCATATCAAGCCGCCCACACATCCTTGCCAACCCCCTCGATCCAGTGGCCCAGCTGGTTGACGCCGGCATCCCAGTCCTTGAGGCGGTTGCGCATGCCCTCGATCTGCTTCATGTCCAGGACCTTGGGCTGGACCCAGTGGATCTGGGCGACCTGGGCGACCTGGTCGATGGCGCCCTTGAGCAGGCCCAGCGAGAGGGCCTTCATGATCAGGTGCTCGATCTCCTGGGGCTTGACCTTGGTCTCGGCGGAGATGGCGGCGAAAGTCAGGTTGCGGTCGTGGGGCGGGCGGCGGAAGACCATCTCCGTCAGCGCGGAGAGCGAGATCTTCTGGTACAGGAAGAGGCGGTGCTGCTCCAGCAGCTGGTTCTTGGCGACGTTGCCGGCCAGCACGTCGTAGGCGGTCAAATCCCCCCGGTTGAAGGCGAACAGCAGGTCGCGCAGCCAGCCGTGCGGCGTCGCGCTCAGCGAGTCCAGGATCGGGTGCAGCAGCAGCTCGCCGAAGTTGTAGATCGTCTCCGACACCAGCGCCGCCACGCTGAGGTTGTAGGCCCGCGACACCCGCTCCGCGTCGCTGAGGTCCTCCAGGTTGATGCACGCGAGGTAGAGGAGGGCGTTCTTGTAGAAGGAGGCGAATTCTTGTTTGGCCTGTCGTTTTTGATGGGAAACTTTGTTAGTGGCTGGCGGGATGACGAGGGAGGTCCCTTACGTGGTAGTAGTCCGCGTTGACTTTGTAGAAGGAAGCGTGCACAACGGTCTCAACCGAGTCGAAGGTATCTAGCACTTTTTGGCAGACCTCCAGATCCTTCTGTGCTCCGTCCAGGTCTTGTAGTCGTTGCTTGACGTTGGCGACGTCGGCGAGGGCGTAGATGTAAGCATCTTGGCTGTCGGGCTTGTTGACCTTGTCGGCCAGCGATGTGAGGAAAGAGAGGCGTTCTTTGTCATCTGTGTACGATCCGCCCAGGCTTGGTCAGTTTGGAGCTCTTCGGAAGCTACTGGGGCGCAGTGGAACAGACCTGCACACTCCGTCGATGCCATCAACCCCAGCGAGACGAACTTGAGCTGGTTGATTCTGTCGGCGAAGCTGAGGACGAAGTTCTTGAATATCGGTAGTCGCTGGGGGCCGCTCTCTGGTAGCTGGAAGAATTCAATCAGGGAATCGGTAAGTTGGTGCCATAGCTTGCGCTCCCAGTAGTCTTCGAAGGTCAGGAACAAGGCCTGGCTCTGTTCGGGAGCTTGCTGGAGCTGGTCGGCGAGGAAATCGGTGATCCTTTGGTTCTCCATGATGGAACCGGGGGATGATGAGATGTGGGACAAGGGTAGGAGAGAGGAATCAAGAAAGGATCAAGGGTCGTGAGAGGTGGGGTAACGTCAATCGGAGATGGGGAAGATAGAAGGAAGCTGATCTGAAGGTGGCAGCGCAGCGGAGCTGAGGTGAACATCCGCCTTGATGCTCGGGCGGTGAGGCACATGACATCGATCCCCATCTACATCATCATCATCATCATCATCATCATCATCATCATCATTATCGTCAATCTCAATAACAAACATCAATCACGGATGTCTTCCGGAACTACCACTCTGTCCTTGTGCCCGGAACATATTTTGGCTCTTGGAATGTATAGCAGCTCTTGTATGGGTTAATTAAACACTACTCGGTTGGACCAATCCAGAAATGAGTTCTACTGCAACCCCAGAATGGTAGCAATAAGTGTCCGATATCTCTCCGAGCAGCCCTCTGAGCCATCTACAACTAGAGTACCCAACGATTTTTTTGGCTCAGAAAAAAGGTATAAAGAGGAGCGTGTTGTTCTGTTCGTAAGAGACTCTTTTGTAACCATCAATTGATCTATTTTCTACTATTATCTACCAATCGTCTCAGGTCATTAATACCTCTGCCTTTGTACCATTGTCCAATCAATACCATCATCATGTCTGACTTCACCGAGAAGAATCGCCAGTACTTCGAGTAAGTGACAAGCTCCTGGGATGTACAGACAATGTACTTATGCACCTTATAGCAAGATGGCTAGTACCTACAATGACGAATTCAAGGAATTCATTAAAAAGAATTGCGCAGAGGTCCTTAGCCGCCGTGCGTGGATCAGTGACACCTGGACCGACACCGAGTCTGGCCGCGGTAGGGAGATCAAGATGCTCGAGTATGCCTGCGGACCGGGTCCTATATCCATGGTAACTTTCCAACCCTATCGCATCAGCTATATCAAAGAAACGAAGCTGACAACCCACAGACTCTAGCTCCCTTCGTAAGCAAGATCGTCGGCATGGATGTTTCAGATGGCATGATCAGCGAGTTCAACAAGAGTGCAAAGGAAGTGGGTTTAGCAGACAAGATGACTGGAGTCAAAGCTGATCTTCTCGCCGAGTCTGTATCGGAGGAACTGTCCGCAGATGAATACACCAACTTCGACCTTGTGGTGGTCAGCATGGCGCTGCACCACTTCGAAAATCCCGAAGTGGCCTTGGCGCGGTTGAGTGAGCGCCTCAAGAAAGGTGGTGTGCTTTTGGTCCTAGAGATCCTGGCAAAAGGGGGCCACCACGACCATCACGGCCATCACCATCACCACCACCACCATGAAGAGCAGCATGATTCAGCTCATGGGAAGCTTGATTTTGGCGACGCTGAACACACAATCGGCAGCCATGGGTTCACACTAGAGCGGATCCAGCAGCTCTATGAAGAAGCCGGAGTAGGTCTAAATTTTCAAAACGAGGTGTTGGAGCATAAGATGGCGTTCAAGATTCATCAGAAGCTGCCGAAAACCCTATTCCTTGCTCGGGGACAGCGCTGCTGAACAATGTTAGTGATATAGTGGCAGTTCGAAGAGTAATGAATGAGTGTGAAGGGTGCTTTGCTTTCTCCAGTTTACTTTCTTTTCGACACCAGACCAGCAGGTAGTCTAAGTTGCGTCGCAGTAGTTGCACCATGACGCTGTGAGCCAGTCGACCAATCATATTTTGCGAATAGTCAGACGCGATCCGGCAGGAGATCAAGTGCTCGGGGGTGGAATTGACCATGACAGGTGGTCGAATGGACAATTATTCGAGGTACTCGAGTAAGGCGACTGTACGATCATAATCCAACACATTGACGGTCATTTCCAGAGCATTATAGACAGCGCGGAAGGAGATCGGACAGTCGAAGAAGGTGTAAATCGGCCAGGGAGTGGGCCGAAAAGGGACTAGCGTCAGAGTCCCGTGCCCGCTCCAAGGTAATTCTGGACAGCGACTTTCAACATCTACCAGCTGTGAGCACAAGTCCTGACGTCGAGCTTGGCTCTCTCCCCTCTACCACCCCATTGTCCATCGCCAACCACCGATCCGGACACATTTCGGTGGTCTCATCAGATTCGCAAGCAGAACTGAGACCATGCAGAGCTGCCGGGCCGCCAATTCCGCCATGGCCTCGAGGGCCTTCGTCCCCGCCCCTAGGGTTCAGTTCCAGGTCCAGCGCCGGAACCTCCAGGATGTTGCCATTACTCGGACCGGAAAGCCGATCTTGAAGGTTCAAGGTGGACGGTAAGAGCGCATGTACCGGGGTCATGGTCGTGGGAGGATGCTAATTTTTGCCTGCCGCAGGTCGTCTCTGGGAGGTACTTCGCCCTCTGCTCGTGTCATTATCCGCTCGCGTCGGCGCCAGAAAGCTCATATCATCTAGGTCACACCGCCACTGTCTTCGGTGCTACTGGTTTCCTTGGTCGTTACATTGTCAACAAGCTCGGTAGGTTGGGCCCATGGTCGATTCGGAGGAGCTAGAGACTGACGCCGAGATAGCTCGTCAGGGATGCAGCGTTGTTGTCCCCTACCGTGAGGAGATGACGAAGAGACACTTGAAGGTCACTGGTGATCTCGGTCGGATCACTTTCATCGTATGACACCTTCATTTCGAGCTTGATAATCGAGTCTCTAACTCGGCGGTCCGGCAGGAATACGATCTGCGCAACACTCAGTCCATTGAGGAGGCTGTGCGCCACTCCGATGTTGTCTACAACCTTGTTGGTCGCCAATATCCTACCAAGTTAGTATAACAAGTCTATCTTGAATGCGCTGTTCTAATCTCCACACAGGAACTTCACTTACAACGACGTTCACGTTGATGGAACGGAGCGCATTGTCGAGGCTGTTGCCAAGTACGATGTTGATCGCTTCATTCACGTCTCTTCCTACAACGCTAGCCGGGACTCTCCTTCCGAGTTCTTCGCTACCAAGGTCCGTTGGCTGGGTGTGTTACCCGCTGGGGATAGGTGCTGACTGCTGCAGGCCTGGGGTGAGGAGATTGCTCGCTCTATCTACCCTGAGACCACCATCGTCCGCCCCGCGCCCATGTTCGGTTTCGAGGACAACCTCCTTCACAAGCTCGCTCGTGCGACCAACGTCTTGACTTCCAACCACATGCAGGAGCGCTACTGGCCCGTGCACGTATGTTGCCTTGAGCAGGTTATGGTTTGAGTCGCGCTGACAATATTCACAGGCCATTGATGTCGGCGCTGCTCTCGAGGCTATGCTGCACGATGACAGCACCGTTGGTCAGACTTTCGAGCTCTACGGCCCCAAGAACTACTCGACCGCCGAGATCGCCGAGCTGGTAGACAAGGAAATTGTCAAGCACCGCCGCCACGTGAACGTGCCCAAGGCCATTATGAAGCCCCTCGCCCACTACCTCAACAAGTACCTCTGGTGGCCCACTGTTTCGGCCGACGAGGTTGAGCGCGAGTTCATCGACCAGGTGATCGACCCCAACGCCAAGACCTTCAAGGATCTTGGAATCGAGCCTGCTGAGATCAGCAACCTGACCTTCCACTACTTGGTAAGTTTGTTCTTTCGTGAGGATGTGTGGACCACCGGCTAATTATCGCAGCTTGGATACCGTAGCTCCTCCTACTACGATCTGCCTCCCGCGACGGAGCGGGAGAGACAGGAGGAGAAGAAGTACCTGCACGTTCTCGACGACCAGTAGTCTGTTTCTTTAGTGTACATACCATGCTAGACCCATTGATTTCTTTGTGTAGCTGCTTCAAGTGTCTGTTAAGAAGTGTCTATTAATCCGATATTCGTTATATATTCCTAATAACCCACAATAATCAACAAAACGCCTACATTGCTATGGAATACCGGTGGTACTAGTAATAGATTGAGGATCAGGGAACCTCGGCCGGGGCGCAAGCTCAGCTCCGCTCCGCTCCGCACTCCGCACTCCTCCATCCACCAGAAACTCTTCCCACCTGCGAATCTCTCCAATTGCACCTCAACCACCCAAGAACAGACCAGAAAAAAAAAAGCCAAAGAACAATGGCCGATCAAGACCCTCGCACCCCGATCCTCCTCCTCAAAACCCGCTCCACCCCGCACGACGGCTACGACGACTTCTTCACGAGCCAAAACTACAACCCCGCCTTCATCCCCGTGCTGGAGCACCACTTCCAGACGACCAACCTCCAACGCGTCCACGACTTGCTCGTATCCGGGGGCTTTCACGCGGGCCATCCGAACCAGAAGTACGGCGGCATCATCTTCACAAGCCAACGCGCGGTGGAGGGGTTCGCCCACGTCCTCGAGGGCATCGATGGTATGTCCGTCCGGCTCGGCGCAGTCCCCCACCATCACCATCACCACCTACCTCTCTCTTTCTCCTACTTCCCAGCCCTGCACCTCCCTCCCCATACCCAAACACCACATTCAACCTAATCCGCAAGTCAACTCTAAACTAACCGATCGAAACAGAACCAGACCTAACCCCCCTCACGCTCCCCCTCTACACCGTCGGCCCCGCAACCCACCGCTCCCTCTCCGCCCTGACAACCACCTACCTCCCCAACGCGACCCTCCACGGCCAGGACACGGGCACCGGCGAGCTCCTCGCGCAGTTCATCCTCTCGCATTACCCTACGTACCCTTACCCTTGCCCTTACTCTTACACCACAGGCAACCCAGATGCGAACACCCCAGCAGATCCCCAGCCCCCGAACCAGACCCCGAACCCGAACCCCGCAAGAAAACCCCTCCTCTTCCTCGTCGGCGAACAGCGCCGCGACATCATCCCCAAGACGCTGATGGACCCGGCGCGGCGGCCCGACGCCCGCATCGCTGTGGAGGAGTTGGTGGTCTACGAGACCGGGGTGATGGCCGGGTTTGAGGAGGCGTTTGGGGCGCGGATTCGCGCGGAGCGGGATGCGTTCCAGCGAAAACAGCAGCAGCAGCAGCAACAGGAAGACGACGAGAAAGTGGTCTGGACGGTGGTGTTTTCGCCGACGGGGTGTGAGGCTATGGTGAGGGTTTTGGAGACGGTGGATGCTTCTTCGTCATCGTCGTCATCGGCGGTTCTGGGTGGTGGGTTGGGGTTGCGGGGGGAGGATGGGGATTTGGACCACAAGGATAACGGCAGGAGGTTCTTTGTGGCGACCATTGGTCCGACGACCAGGGATTATCTCAGGAATCGGGTCGGGTTCGAACCCGATGTCTGTGCGGAGAAGCCTAGTCCCGAGGGGGTCGGGAGGGGGATCCAGAAGTTTATGGAGGAGTACAGGGCGGGGAAGAAACAGTCCAAAAACTGAAAATTGAGGTCACCGGTTATGTACAGTTAGGGAAGTAAGTGGAGTACCTCAGGTAATTCTGCACCGCATATATACCCAAAGACGTTCTTGAACAAGTTCATCTTATGTACTGGTCTGCATGTCAAGGCTACTCTGCTCGCATTATATCAAACAAGCTTCAATGCCCGAATCATCACCTCAACTCCATCCATATTCCCATAATGGCAGCATATCACTCAGGGTGGAACGCGCGAGCATTGTCCCTATCCTTTTCTTTCTATTCTTCCATGTTATTATGTGCTCAAATGAAACCCCACTGAACCTGAACAAACAGGCACTGCCTTGTTTAGTTCCCTCGTACTATGGTATCTTAGCCGCATTCATATGCTCGTCATTTCTTTACCGCATGATCTCCTCATATATCAGGACTGTGCACTAAGTTAGTAAAGCTCCACATAAGACCAAGTCTCCCAACTTACGCTTCAACTGCTCCTTGCTCAACACATCCTTGTTCTTATCGAAATCAAAGAATCCCTCTGGAATCGGCGGTGCCGTAGGCTCATCCTCCGGGTCGTGATACGGCTCCAGGTATGGATGACGCAGCGCCTCCTCCACTGTGATTCGCTTGGCAGGGTTGAAGGCGAGGAGCTTCTCCAACAGATCCAGGGCGAGATCGTTGCTCTTGGGGAACATGGCGCGGAAGGGAATCTTCTTCTTGAATGGGAGAGATCGGATGTACTCGCGAGCCCGTCGGGACTTGATACCATAGTAGTCTTCCATGGTCGGCGTTCCGAGGACGTCAAGGATAAGGGTCAACTGGTGGTGGTCTATCTGTTGTCAGAATGGCCTGCCAATTGCCGCGCCGGTGATGTGGTACTCACAGTCCTTTCCAGGGAACAGGGGCTTCCCGCTCAGCATTTCAGCCAGGATACAGCCCACACTCCACACATCAATCGCCTTCGTGTATTCCTTGAACGTCAACATGATCTCCGGCGCACGATACCACCGTGTGGCCACATATTCCGTCATGAAGCCCGAGTTGTCATCCGTCGATGCAGCAGACCGAGCCAGGCCAAAGTCACAGACTTTCAGGTCGCAGTTGGCATTGAGAAGAAGATTGGATGGTTTGAGATCACGATGCAGAACGTTCGCCGAGTGCATGGCTTTCAGCGCGCGCAAGGTCTGGTAAATGAAGTATTGGCAATGGTCGTCGGAAAGGTCCTGAGTACGGATTACACGGTGCATGTCCGTCTCCATCAATTCCTGTTTCGATCAGTCGCTGAGTTTCCACGTTGCATGACTTGTAAATTTACCTGGATCAGGTACACCTCGTTGAAGCTCTCGTAATTTCGAGGCCGCTGGATATCCAAGATAGAGATAATGTTCTCGTGGTTGAAATACCGCAACAGCTTCATCTCACGAAGGGTTCGCAGACAGAACATGGAATGGTCGAATGGCGTAATCTTCTTGATGGCGACCTTCTGTCCGGAAGGCTTGTGGATCGCGGAGCTGAGGCTAATTAGTTGTCGTCGGCTACGGCGCTCCGTTCATCTGACAAAACTCACCAGACAACGCCATAGGCGCCCTCTCCGATGACATCTTGAATTTCATATTGATCTGAGACATTGAAGGAGATCTTGCGTGATCCTCCTTGAGGAGGCGTTTGTTGCACCATGGTGACAGTTATGATAGGAGTTCTAAGCAAAGGTCAGTTCATGCCGACTAGAGCAGGCGTTTTGTGTGATGAACCCCGCGCCAAGTGATAATCCAGCTCATCGCCGACTTGCCAGCCCAACGATGAGAAGGAGGGCTGTAGCAGGCTAACAGCCCTTAAGCATCGCTGTGATGGTGGGCGTGGTTCGTCCGGATCGCCCACGAGATAACGCCTAGGGCCCATCACACATTCAAGCAACGAACACATGGCATAGCGCTTACCAGAAGAAGCTGGGTTGGAGCGCAGTTAGAGCCTAATTACAACAAATCCGCATGCCAGGGTGTATGCGCTGGACGAGTGACCGTTGTCGGGGAACCGTCGAAGATCGGGAGCGGGGTACAGCGCGTGCCTGCAATTGAACCGGAAAAGGAAGACGCACGCACGTTGGTGTGCAGAAGTTCCGAAGTAGGGTTTATTTTGAATAAGGAAATGGCAAAGGGATGCCAGGTAGGATCACGATCCAGGGGCGCAGGGGGTGATCGAAGGAACAAATAAACTGCTCACACGGCGCTTAGATCGATCCACGTCACTGCTGACGACCTGGACCACAGAAAGACGAACTTGTCAATTATCCACAACAGCGACAAAAAAAGGACCGAAGACCGGGCCCTATTAAAGGTTCCTTGTAGAGGATCGAGAGAGAGGGCGAGAGAAAAAGGAGAAGCTTACCAGTGGTGAGGAGAGAATCGGGTTACAGGTGCTGGGTGTCTCACAGGCCGGTTTCTATTTTTGGGACGGTTTGTCTTCCAGGTGTCTTCTGTCCTGGTTCTAGATCGACGACAGCGGTCAGTTTCGAGTTTCTCTTGACTAAGATACACATGAAGCAACAAAAAATAGAGGGAAAACCAACCCACGGCGTTTCGACGGAGAAGGGGGGAGAGGGGGGAGTGGGATAGTGGGATAGTGGGATAGTGGATGGGGGTGGAATGACTAGGAAGTAGGAAGTAAGAGCAGGCGAGGGAAGGTAACGAACGACAGACAGACTAGCAGTTGGCGGGTGTTGTGGAGGGGTTGGAGAGAGAGAAAGACAGAGGCAGAGAGAGAGAAAGAGAAGAGCAAATAGTGGCAGTCGTGGAGGGAAACTAGTGTCCGTAGTGGGAAAGTTAATCACCCGCAAGTGGGGAGGGAGGGAGAGAGTGGCAGAATAAAGACTTGGATTCACCTTGAAGCAACAAATTGGATTCCTAAGAATAGGAAAGTAGAGGAGAAGAAGAACGTTGAACAGAATAGAGAGAGTTCAGTGGAAAGGAGGAACCGAGGAAGAAGAGGAGGAGGAGGAGGGAGAGGAGGGAAAGAGAGAGAGAGAGAGAGAAGAGAGAAAGCGTGCGTGGGAAGTGGTGTACCTGAATCGCCGTGGAGCAATAATAAATGGGGGGGAGGGGAAGGTCAGTTATCGATACGGAGGCAGCAGATAAGCCCGTGGACAGTTGAGGATAAAGATAGTAAGTAGCAGGTGACTGACACTGACAGCAATAGTCTGTTCCAACTAACGACACTTTTCAAAAATAATAATAATAAAAACAATAATAATAATAATCCCCGTCGACAATCACAAGGGGGAGGCAACAACAAGAGTGATAATGAATGAGTCCCGATGAAAGAAGAAAAGAAGAACCTTGGTTGAAGGGACGGAGGGGCCGCTGCAGTGGGAATCACCACCGGGGCAAGTCAGTCTGTGTGGTACGGTTGGGGAGGGGGGGTTCTGGTTCCTGATCCAGAAATGCTGCCATCATTATATCTGCTCAGTAAAATCAACATTATCAAGTGTGTCTCTTTGCTCAAGGACCCTCAATGATTAAATCAAAGCAAATTATCTCATCAATCACAAACCAACATCATCTCACAGCGGATACAGCAGCCACTGAGCCACTAACTGCCGTGATTCTGCAATAACCCCAAGCAGACAATGCAATCACCCCCTCAATAAGGCCCGGTCTGAACACCTCCATTTGTGTGGAGAGAGCAAGCAATGATTGAATGAACCCAAGTCAAGAAACAGACACCAGAAAATGCGACCCTTTGCTTTCCCAAGAAAAGCCAGTCCAATCTCAGTTCCAACTTTTATTCAAAGAGCTCCTCTTTCCATCCTGTTATCTCATGGGCAACTGTCAATCCCCTCCCCAAGCCCAAGAAACTCCTCCGGAGTACGTCTGGACCAGTGTTTCGTGTTTCAACCAACCCACGAGACGCGATTCAGCTCCTCCACTGCAGCCCTCAAGCTCTCTCCCTCCCCCTCTCACAGTCCCAAATCCCGCCACGGGCGCCAATCTCAGGCAGTTTCACCGTCTCTCAGAATCCCCCCTTCTCTAGCAGTGGCCCACCACCACTACTGAAACTGGTTTAGTCGACTCAGTAACTACCTACAAAATCCCCACTCTTTCCTTTCCCTGGGCCCAGGGATCTTCTTGCCTTTCCGTCTCCGTACTGTGTGAGATGATCCATGAGATCCATCCATCACCCTGGCCTAGCCGCACAGATAGATTAGTACACTGGTCTTATTGCTTTCTTACAGGAGAGGAGAGGGAGGGGCAGTGCTCTTTGGTCGCTCTTATTCCGTAGACCAGAACGAACGAGACTACTGTGTGCTACTCGACTTGATCACAACCCCGTTCACCAAATCATAATTTTCAATTCGAAGTCGGCCCATCACCTTCCACTTCTTCTTCTTCTTCCCCCTCCCGTCCCCTTCATCCCGGGAGACGATCCATTAGATGCAGTCAGTTGGCTCAGAGACTGAGACTCAAATGTGATGACCGTCCGTCAAACTTGCAGCCAGCTCTGGCAGTTGTGTGATCTAAAGCTTACCGTGCATGGGCTGACCTGACCACATCCACACAAAGTAACTCAGGGCCCATGCAGCCCAACAACGCCCTTCCTCACGTACTCGCCCAGGGTTAGCTACAGGACTAGCCAACCACCAAGCTCGTAACCCATGTCAGAGCCTCGGATCACATTCGTATTTAGCGGTAGATTGGGGATGGTTGGTGAAGTTTAGCATCAGGACCAGCCTTATGAAAACAGCCCGTAAACAACGAAAAACAAGCCTACAAAGTGTTGTACTGGACAATGCATAGCTTCAACGCCCATCTGGGCGGCACTTGATTAGCGAGCACATGGCTCGATGTGCCGGGAAAAAAAAAAGGCGTCTGATCCATACACAACACCCGAACACACGCCCAACATCAACCACAAGCTCCACTGAACTTTTGCATTTTCTTGATGACCTGCGCATTGCTCAACCCGATAAACAATAACCAGCCAATCGAGACCACCACCGGAGTAAGCGCTGAAGAGAAAGCAGAAGGGAAACAAATCTTGACCTAATCACGGAAATTGTATTGATGTATCTTGGGAAATAATTTACCAGGGTAAGGGAGAAGCTATCATTACTGAACAACCTGTAGGTGTGTTCGAAAAGCTCGTCAGTCTGCGTGACTCCAAGTATAGACTCGTATGTCGATGACGGCAGAAAGGGTAAGAGATCAACTGGCAGAGACAAAGGCGCTTAGGAAACGGAGCAATCAAACCTTTTCCCGCAAGGAGCCCATCCATTGCACCAGACTGACGCTCTGGTCCGCACGGTCTTCCACCAACATCGTCTGCGCCCATAAGCGGAGCCCCGGTTCGCCGTCTTCCTTGACCACATACAGGTGCGGCACCACAATGCTGCCCACCCCCTTCGACCGGTGATCCCGGCTCTTCTCGACCACCGCACGCACCCGCTGGTTGAACTCGTTGTCCAAGTCCGGCAGGTTCTGCTTGCCCACCCGGAGCTGCGATCGGTCTGCCAGCCCAAACACATCCTCGATCAGCTGAGGCACCGCATCGCGTCCGACCCACAAGAACTGCGTCTGGCCATCGTCGATGAGGTAGAGGCCATACGGAACCACCCGCTCAGACGACAGGTTGACTGGAGGAGGGAGGACAATTTCGCCGGTCTGCTCATCGGGCAACCCAGCGTTGTCCGGCATGTCGTGGAGGGAATACATCTTCGGGTAGATGTATTGGATGAGGAGAGGAAGGGGAAGCGTAGAGAGCATGCAGAGAGCCGCAGAGCGCATATCGGTGGGGATCTGGGCAGATTTGCGAAGCCCGAGCTAATCGAGAATTAGATGCTGATGGGAAACTGAGTGGACACTAGAGAAAACTTACATTCTTGATCATGGCAAGGAAAAGAACGGGGAGTGCTCTCAGGTTAGCAGGGAACTGGAGACCACCGCCGCTCACACTTCCACCGGCCAATTCCTTGCGGTAGGTAGAGAGCAACTCCACGGCCTTGGCCTGGAGGGCGTCCCGGGCGGGTTCCAGACCGCTTCCCAGAGCCCGCTCGACGGCCTTGTGGCTGAAGTAGGTTGCGACTGCTTGCTGGTCCGCCGAGGCGAAGACGTCGGCCAGGTTTTGGGTGGTAGGAAGCGCCAGAGTCAAAACGCGGATTCTTCTCTCGCCGTTGCAAGTGGTGTGAAGGACGGCGGTCTGCAAGCAGACCACAGGTTTCGTGACTGTCTCATCGATGGCAACCTCAACCACATACGCTTGATCGCGGGGGAAGGCGGGGAAAGCGCAGAGATCGGAACTGCGGTTGAAGAAGTTTCCGTAGAAAGTGTTCATGCGGAGGCCGGTGGTAGCGCGGACACGGAGCACAGCCTCCAGACCGATCTCAGATGAAAGGTATTCGGAGAACTCGCGGGCGAACTTGATCGCATCTTCTGGGCGAGCGGCGTTCCAGCCCGGATAGAAGTACGTCTGTCCACCAGTGTACCGAGGCAGGTTGCTGAGAGACGCAACGTCCTGGTATTGAGAGGAGAACAAGAACATGTCGACAGAGACCTGTGCCTTGGAGCATTCCACGGCAAAGCTCTTATAGAAGCTGTTTGCTGTTTGCAGAAGCGCATTCTCCTTGCTGGTGCCAAGGACCTTTTTGTCTTCTCTCATGGTGAGAGCGCCGTGGCCGATGTTAGGCAGAGAAGAACTAAGCACGGTCATCTTACCGCCCACAGGAGAAATCAGTTTGTAACCAGCGCGCAGAGCGGAGCCCATGGCACAGCCGTTGCTCTGGGTGTTCTGGAACATCTCCTGCAGCTTGTCGAGGAACGACTCAATGTTCTCCCGGCATTCGCTCAAGGTCACTAGAAGATCACCCGGAATGGGCAAGAAAGGCTCGTCCAAGTCACTGACAACCAGCATTCTGGGGTCCGAGTTGTCCGACCCATCCCGAGGGATGCTGAAGTAGTGGAGGCTGGAGTCAACCGCGATGAAGCCGAGTCGGGTGCGACGGTCGGCGTTCGGGATCCGATCGAGACTTTCCTTGATGCACCGTGCACTTGTCGCGAGCAGACCATTGGTAACTGAAGCATAGCTGACATCGATCAAGAACAGATAGACTAGCGGCTGAGGAGGGCGAACCATGTACTCCTGAGGGGCGACAAATTCCACGACCGAATGGTTGAGATCAGCCCTCAGCGAACGGTCCGCAGGCTTCTGAAGAGCAGTATCCCAATCGAAGGCTTGAGGTACGTCATTAGTCAGGTTGCACATGTTACAACGCCAGCGGTGTCCATGGTCGAGGAATGTGACGAAGGGATTGATATAGGAGCGGCAGCGTCGGCAACGGGAAATGACCTGATCGGGAATGACTGGGATGGGATCTTCGGAGTCATGCAGCGCTGCATATGGCTGGATGACGAGCGCAAAAGGCAGCTTGGACTTCTTCAGGAGCGAGTGCGTCGTAGGAACAGCATTCAACGTGGAGCGAACGTATTTCGGGGGGCAATTGGCATACGGAGAGGGGTAAACGCTGGTCTAATGAGCGAAGTTAGTGTTTCCCATCCGTGATAAGGAAACCGGCCATGGACACTTACACCCGGCGGCAGAACGATAGGAGGCGGGGGGTAGTCAAGTTCGGCAACATTGAACGGCTGAGTGAGGAGGTCGGTAGGATAGAGCTGGTTGAGAGGGACTGCCCGCGGAGCCTGGGGGGCTTGAGCCACGGGCTGCGGCGGCATCAAGTGTGGATCGGTGACTCCCATAGCACCGAACTGCTGGGTCATCTGTGCGACCGGCGGGGAGGCGGGCGCCCCGTAAGCCGGGGCAGCAGCGTGCATCTGAGTAGGGTCTGCGTAGGCCGGTTGCTGGTATCCCGCAGCGGCTGGTGCTTGCGCCGGGTAAGCTCCATAGCTACCACCGCCCGGTAACTGGCCTCCTAAGGCAGCATTGGCACCGGAGCCGAAGTCAAAGGCTTCGCCTGCATATTGTCTCTTCTTTCGTGCGCCAGCCTGCCCTTGCCCCGCGGGCTGTTGTTGCTCGGGAGTTCCGTAACCGACAGGCTGACCATACCCTTCTTGGGGCGGATAACCCCCTTGTGGTGCTGCCATGGCGGTCGGCTGTGATTTATGACTGTAGGCGGTTGTAGTGGGAGGTGTGCGGGATGGTTTGTGAATCGTTGCAGGGTCACTGGGTTAGGGGCGATGGTCAGTCGACAATTTGAAACAAAGTGGGAGAGTTCAGGGAGGGGAACGGAGAGCGACTGGGTACCAATGACCGGGGATAGATTCACCAAACCGCACGGGGTTGGAGAGTCTCTGAGAGTCAAGCAGGAGAACACGTCGATGTGAGACTCCAGCAAGAAAGAAGGAAATGCAACCAGGAGAAGAGAGGTGGTGAGTTGCGTTAGAGTCAAGGGCACAGCGTAATTAGGTAGGTAGGTAGAGTCGAGTTGGTAGTGCAGTGAACGGTGGACAGTGGATGGTGGATGGTGTACGGTGGCCTTTGCGGCTGCCGCCAACCGGCCAATCAGCACCTCACCGCATCCGAGCCCGACTTGCTCCTTTACAAGCATGTTGCCTCTTAGTAGTTATACTTTCAATGCCAATTCGAGGGGAAATTCTCTCTCAAAACCCGTACTCTCGAGATGCTCTACAGTCTGTACCTTACTGTAATGGTTATTATTGGGGTCGACATTCAGGAGAACCAGATGGTGTTGAAGATATCACTGTGGATGCCTCCTGCAAGCTGTGTAGTGTGGCATAATGATCTCATACATTACTATAGGTACTAGTTACTAAAAAGATTTCCACCTGGACATGGGGTATCGCTACCATGGATTGATTAGTCTGTATCCTTTTACACCAAACATAAATGGCCTTATGCTGATTGTCATTTTCGGCATCTCACTAACTTACTTCGTGTCTCCAGGGGTTCTGTCTTGGTTAAATGTTGTTTCTATATAAATACCAGAAACAATGGGTGGCAAATGTATATGTATATTGCGACCGGCTGATCGTGGCAGAAATGGCAGACAGGGGTGACTGGGTCGAGTTCAAATTCAAAATTGCCATCAGCATCGTAGTGTATCATGTAATAGGTACCGATATATAACCTCAATCAAGTACCAGGGATAAGTCAGTGTTCGTATACTGTTGTAGTTCTCACATGTGCACACGGGAAGAAGAACAGGCAGGGAGAACGTGGGCGTGGTGGTTGCCGTGCCAACAGCGCTGACCGCTGGCAGTCGCACCACAACGAGGCTATCCCTGTCGGTTTCGCCAATTCGAGCTCATCTCGTCATCAAAGGCTCTTCGACACCACGAGCACTCCCGGGTGCAAACCTCACGTTCGATCAAATTGTTTGCTGCGTTTTGCTGTGGTCAACGAGAGTCAATTGAGCAACTTTGTACTGAAATCTACCGACCTAATATTGCGACGTTGAGCGACAGTCCCGGTTCTTGCGCCCACCCAACTCATATTTAATGACTTTAATACCCACGCCTTCAAGGTTCGAAGCATAATTGGTCGACACGGTCAGTTCAAAGGGCACGAGCAACCTGGATAAGCACGACTTGTTGGTCCCATATAATATTTGAGTTTGGAAATCAGTGTACTCTGGCTGTGCTGGCACATATCCAATAATTCAAAATGAGTGTTCGGGTCGTCGCACGTATTCGACCTCTGCTTAAGTCGGAGCGCGACTTAGACGTCATCCTTCGCACTGGCCCGTCTGCACATGGTGCCGACAAGAAGACCACCACACAAGAGAAAGGAGCATTGGCAACACTGAGGGATAGGGATACTGTAGTACGGATCCCGAACCCAAAGAACGAGAGCGAAGAATACTCTTTCCAGTTCAATGCTGTCTACGAGGCGGAAGCCACACAGCAGGAGCTGTATGAGGCCGAGGGTGAGTCTTGGGAGTTCAAGTCATGGAATAGGCCTATCTGATTCAATTGCGCAGTCGCACCAACCGTCAAACACCTCTTCAACGGGTTCGATGTCACACTTTTCGCATACGGAGTAACGGGTACAGGGAAGACGCATACCATGCGAGGCGGTAAAAGCCTGGTTGACAGAGGCGTCATTCCTCGTCTCCTCAGCAGCATATACAGGCGCAGCCGGAAAATGGAGAAGGAAAGCAGTGGCGAAACCACGGTCAACGTCTCTTTGAGTTATTACGAGATCTACAACGACAAGGTTTTCGACCTGTTCGAGCCTCCAGAAAAGAGAACATTGGCAGGTCTCCCCCTCCGTGATAATGGAGGCAAGACTGTAGTTGTCGGCCTGACGGAGAGACCATGCCACAACCTCAAGGAATTTGAGACATTGTATGACCAAGCAAACATCAACCGATCGACGTCTGCCACCAAGGTGTGTAGCCATGCTCTTCACTAGGGAAACGTAATTGCTCACTTCGCTACAGCTAAATGCCCACTCATCACGCTCTCACGCCATCCTCTGTGTGCGCGTAACAGTGAGCACTGGCGACAAAACCTGCGTCAGCACTGCATCGGCCATTGATCTCGCCGGCTCGGAGGACAACCGTCGGACTGACAATGACAAGGAGCGCATGGTCGAATCTGCCAGTATCAACAAGAGTCTATTTGTTCTCGCTCAGTGCGTGGAGGCGATCAGCAAGAAGCACTCCAGAATTCCATACCGCGAATCGAAAATGACTCGGATTCTCTCTTTGGGCCAGAACAATGGGCTGACGGTCATGATCTTGAACCTCGCCCCTGTCAAATCCTATCACCTGGATACAATCAGCTCCCTCAACTTCGCCAACCGAACGAAGAAGATTGAGGTGCGCGAAGTGGAGAACGAACCCATCTTCAAGGGACCTCCCAGGCCGGTGGCACGGCCTTCAATCATGGGCACGCTGCGACAACCCCTACGCCCTCTAACTGCATCTGTCAACGTAAACTTAACCACAACGGCAGCCAAAGACGCTGCAAACCCCGGCGAAAAGCCCCTGAAAGCATTCCACGTCTACTCCGACAAGTCACAACCGCGATACTCCACCCAGTTCAAGAAGCCCGATTTACCAAAGCGTACTTCTCTCAGCGCCGATACTACCGCTCGAATCACGAAACAGCCCATGCGTCTCGCACAACCGACTCATCAGCAGCCCCTGAAGCAACTTGAGGACTTCTCAGCCGCTAGGATTGAGGAGATGGTTGAGAGAAAAGTCGAGGAAATCCTCGCTGTGCGAGCGGTCAGCGAGCAGTCACGACAGACGCAAGTTCGCGAGCTCAATGAGCAAGTGCAACGCCGCCTGGAGCTTCTCGAGCAACGAATTGAGGGATCGGAGGATGCGCGCGCGGAGGGTCTATCATACCTTCTCATGGCCAAACAGCATCAAGGCCGTGGTGAGGACAACTTTGCTCTCAAGATGTACCAATTGGCACTTCCATTCTTCCCCAATAACGAGAAGTTAGCTCGGAAGATTGCCACTCTGAAGGAACGTATCCACGGCAAATCCCACACGGAAGCCCCAGCTGTCGACCCGACTAGCAGCACCGTCAACCCTCACCCCGGCAAGCGCGACTTCGGAAGTATGCTGTCCCTCAAGAAGCAACCCGCCGCCCAAACAACTTTCGGACGCACCAATGCAGACGATTCTGACGCAGACTATGAGCCTGCCGACGACGAAGATACCCAGAAAGTAGTGAATCAAGACGAAGAAATCGAGGAAATCGAGGTCGACCTCGAAGAGATCGCCCATGCCCGCCGGCGGAAGCGCACCCGCACTAAAACGACTATCGATATGGGTGAAGAATTCGAGCCTCCATCCCCACGAACTATCCACCTCCTCTCCATTATCAACTCCCGTGATGTGAGTCAGATCAAGCTCCTGAAAGGCGTGGGGGTCAAAAAGGCCGAGGCCATCGTCGACTGTCTCTGCGAGATGGATCAGCATGTCGAGAGCCCGGAGCAAGAGCAAGAGCAAGCCGCAGCAGCTCAGGTGCACATCCACAGTCTTGCAGAGTTGAGCAAGTTGAAGGGAGTGGGGATGAAGAGTGTTCAGAGCATGCGCAATGGCGTTTTGGTTTAGAAGACTTCTTCCGCTTTTTCTTTAAAGCGGTATTCGGATTTCCCTATGAGAAGGCAGGACGTGCCATCTTGGTTCTGCATTTTGCGTGTTCTTTTTTCTTCTACTTTTGCATTTGCACATATGCATTTTTGGTATGAACCATTATTGACCCCATCGAGCGAGGGCGTTATTCTGGAGTTGTTTTGGTGTTGGGAGTTTGAGGGAAGGATTTCGAGTTACATGATTGGAATTACTTTACCATTCTTGATTAGGAGATATACTCAGTCTTAAACAACACATACACTAGCAATAAGATGATTCAACACCCATTTTGATCCTGTGCCGTCTATGAATCCCTTTTCCTCCCATTTGAATTGACCCGTCATTCTACCTTTCTTTCAACCAACTTACCCTTACCCCCCCCCTGCACCCCAAAAATTAAACCTTCCTGACCACCCTTCCCTCACTAATCCACAACTTAGCCAAACAATAAAACCCGACCCCGGAGCACATCACCACCGCACAGAAGACATTCAGCTTGAGATACGACCCGTGCAAGGGGTCCGGGAGCAGGGCGCCCGCGATCGGGGTGCCGGTCAGGGCGGCGAAGCTGACGAGGAAGAAATACGTGCCGCTGCGGACGCCGATCTCGCGGATCTCGGAGATCTGGGCGACGAGCGCGGGGGCCAGGGAGACGGCGGTCCCCGAGCTGAAGCCGTACAAGGCGCTGAAGCAGATGGAGGGGACGTTGCCGTGCGTGGGGAGCCAGAGGCCCAACACGAGGATGACCGACAAGAACGTCATGAGGATCATCAGGTTGAAGCGGCCGAAGAGGTCCGCTAGGTAGGGCGGGATGATGCGGCCTGGGGTGCTGTTCTTGTCCCACGAGGGTTAGTTGGGCTGGGTTTGGGCTGGGGCTGAGGCTGGGGTGAGAGGGGTGTTTGGGAGGTGGGAGTGGTTTTTTTGGGGAGAGGGGGCGACGGACCTAGCGGCATTCATGATGGGGATCAGGTACGATGCTAGCGAAGCCGACATGCCGTTCTTCTGCGCCTGGCTGGGGATGAAGCTGAAGGGGAGGAACATGCCCCAGAAGAAGCAGAAGGTGCCGGCGGTGGTGAGCAGGAATGGGACCTCGCGGAGGGGCCGCACGAAGTCGAGGAAGTGGAACGGCTTGCGGCGGTGCTGGAGCCGCGACTTCAGGGTGCAGTTGGCGATGACCAGGCAGAACAGGATCAGGAAGGCGCAGATGCGCACCGCCCAGCCGAAGTCGAGCTGGTCGAAGAGCCGGGTGAGCATGATCGGGAGGATGACGCCCCCCAGGCTGGCGCCGCTGGTGGCGATACCGAGCGCGAGCGCGCGGCGCCGCCCGAACCAGGTGCTGATGGAGTTGATGCTGCAGTGGAAGAGCGCGCTGGTGCCGATCGGGCTGCAGAGGCCCTGGGCGAGCAGGAACTGGTAGTACTCCGAGGAGATGGAGATCATCATGAGTCCGAAGACGTGGAAGAAGGTGCCGGCGAGAACGATGTATCGGGGTCCGAAGTTGTCGAAGAGTATCCCGACGAAGGGACCCTGTCCCCTAGTCAGTTGCAAGGATGCGTAGGGTTGGCGTAGGGAGAGTTCAGTATATGGCATCTACGTACCCCGAAAAACATCATGAAGGTCATCAGAGACGTGACCCATGTCACAGTGCTGGTGGACTCGTCCCGCAACTGGTGTGTCTTGTAATAATCGATGAAGATGCCCATGCCTGAGTTCGCTCATCAGCAACAACACAACCTCGCCCGAACGAGAATCCTCTCATGTATTCCAAGCCAGGAACTCACAGTTGACCCAGCCGAAGCTGACGAACATTGCGCAGAAGCCACCCAGGACCGTCAGCCAGGCTTCTACACCACCATCTGGAGCCCCCTTAGGCCCTTGTGCCAGCTGCGTCGTGGCCGCGGCAGCGCCTATCTTCTCCACTGAATCGCTCGTGTTACTGCTTCCTTCTTGCGCGGCCTCGAGAGGATGTTGCCGCCCGTCAGCATGCTCGTCCTTGTCGGCTTCAACGTCGACCTGCGTGGTTGAAGTCGATCCATGGCTGTGATATAGTTCATTGATGTCTTCTGCGGGAAGCTCACTCGGAAGGTCAAACTCGTGCCGTTGCATGTTGTTCGTCATCTTTCTCAAGACTCGTGGTCTCGGGAATCACGATTCTCGTCCGTCCGACAGGTCACTCCAAGGTAGGCAAGGTAGCCTTGTCAATATTCTTGTCAAGAACTGCCTTCTCAGCAAGAACGGTGATACAGGATGAGCCTCGATGAGAATGAGGCACCGGCACGGGCCGGAGATAAATTTTGAAATCGAACGGGGCCATTCGGGGGGATTTCGTCGCCATGGGGTGAGTTATTATCCCTTACGGGTCGGTCAGCTCATGAACGAGTCGTTCAAAACAATCCGTACCAAGGGGGGGGCTTGGCACAACAGAGAAGTCAGATATGATGAGCAAACCTTGATATGATGAGCAAACCTTGATATGCCCGGTCTATTGGAACCCCTTGCAGGACCCTTGGTCCGGAATGATGTTCACCACTTCCATACTTTTGCGCAAACTCCTGCCCGTGTTTACAGTAATTCTTAATGAGCAAGTTCGAGACATGAAGTGGCAGAATTCAGGAAAAGGCAGCAGATGATCCAAGCGCGATAGCAATATATGGGATTCATGAAGAGAGTTTGGCGTACGATCGGACGCATGCTGTCTATAGTACATTGAGCCTGCAATGAAAATGAACCCTCCAATAATTGAACTCGGACTTATGCAACGAAGCAGAATAATTGAAACAGATTGCTTAAACACTCAACTGGCTTATTCCAGCTTCTCGAAAACCACCTTGCCATCCTTGGTGAGCCTGGCGACGCTCTGCGACGTGCCCTTTGCTTCTTGGAACAAGTCGTCCGGCGTCCGGGAAGGGACAGGGGCAGCATTTACCGCCTCCTCTGCTGCTTTCCGCGATGCTTCCTCCGCCGGTGTTGGAGGCTTCGCTGGGCCAATGGTCAATCCACGCGGAGCACTAGCAAGCTCGTTCACCTCGTGCTTCGTCAGGACCTCGTTGATGCGAGGCCCGCGGGTCTGAAGGAGAATAGTTGTAGGGCCGTCGAATTGAAGGAACAGCTAGACAGTTTCAGCACTGGGCACAACACAACTTGAGGGTGAGATTGATTGAGCATACCCTGTCTCCCCAGATGGTCATTCGAGACCAGGTGCGAAGCCTGTGAACCAGCTTCATTGTAGACTTCCAAGTATCCGCTTCGGACATAGCTTGGAGGAACTTGGAACTCTGAATGTAGCTTTGAATGAAGGCAGGCAGGCTCTTAAGGCCCGGAACCTGAAGCTTCAATGTCGTAGACTTGAAACGGTAGGGACGAGGGGGGTTCGACGAGATAGTGTAAGCAACAACATTGCTTTTCAAGACCAGTTAGCTGAGCTTCTGCACAGTGGGTAGAATTGACAAGCATACCTGGGATGGACTATGTATTGCTCGCCGGCCTTGAGCTCGACCGAATACAGCTGGCCGTTGCCAACCAGAGCCAACAATCCTCTGCCAGTGACCTCAGAGCTACCCCAGTGGGACAGGCTCTTCGCGAATTAGCTATAATCATGAGACCATGTGACGTTCTGGATGAGACGAACCAGGTTCGTGTTGATGGTGGGTCGAATCGAGAGCGAACGACCCGTCCAGGCAAGTAGCGCTCGCCTTTGAGCGACCATCCAGTCGACCGAGCCATTGAGGTGTACGACCGCAAAAGAGGTATTTGGCGAGCGGACGGAGACCAGGGCCGTCACCGGGCTGGCGGAGGATATCTGCGCACGAAGTTAGCCGCAAATCCCTCGACTTACGGGGACAGATCAGACCTTCTGATAGAGAAACGGCACGCCGACAACAGCTCTCCGGAAAGGTTCGAGGACACTCAAGGTGGAAATCACCTGGTTGTATCAGATGTTAGAGGTAGCTCGTACGTGAGCAGATTGCGAGAGTTCCGGTATTTGCCTACATTGTCTGCTTTCCCACTCAACCCAACCAACGACCCTCGGCGAGTGTACAGATTCTGCGAAGCGGAAAGTGAAACCGACAGGAGCGAGTAGGGTGCGCCGATGACATCGAACCGAGCATCTATATCCACGAGAGTATATTAGCAAGAGGGTTTTAGTGTGAAACGAAGGATCCAATTGCCTGCACCGCATTGAATTGGATTTGCGACAAGACCTACCAGCGGATTCAGCTGATGTGGGAGTGCTGGACACAGGGAGATTGTCTCCATTGACCGCAGGTTGTTCCGCGGGCGCAGCGCGAATCTGGACGCCTCTGGCCTGGCATGCGCGGTGCAGCAAAGCTCCTTGTCGCGCCCGAGGGGGAAGAACACGAGTCCAGGACAGAGCCCGAACAGCTCCCCTCAAAGGTTGGCCTGTTGCCATGGTTGAAAGGGGAGTGTGTGAATCTGCGAAGAGAAGAGGAAATAATTGGGAGCTGAACGAGAATGCTTCGGCTCGTCCTCCGCGGTAATCGCAGTAATTCTTCGCAGTTCCTGATCGGGGAAAGCGTTGCTCTGCGGCTTGGCACTCAATGACCGGCCTTCGACCACTTCTACCCCGGTGCTTTCTGGTGTGCAGTTGAACGGCGGAAATGAGACCTAACTCACTTGTAATGGTAGTGATCGATTTATCTACCTCAAGGAGTAAGCCTTGACCCAACAATAAGAAGTGTTGTATTGAGCTGTGGTGGTTTTTGTGCGCCAGACGGCTTCCCGCTGATGTCATACCGATCTCACGCGTATAACTCCTGCGGTATAGTTCTAGTACGAGTTGGAGGAGTTGGTTGTTATTTCTCCCCTGCCATTAGGAGACAAGCCTGGAGGCTACTTGGTACTGACTAATATGTATGCATAGCATGATCACTGCCTCCACATAAGTGTTCATAGATAACATGGGCACGATATATGAACTATAAGCCCATACCTATCTCGACTAGCACTTACCAGCCGTTCCTTAGAATCAGACAATTCGTCTTGCACCAAAGCTCATAACAACAATTGCAACCGCACGCTCCTTCGTTAATCTACCTGACCGCTGTCTCCTATCAGAATCAAAAAGGCTTCTTTGACCCATGACTGAAGTAAGAAGAGTTAATCCTCCTTTTTGTCCAAATGGGTGAACGGCCGCCCACCGCCCGCGTTGGCATGAACCGCGGGACAAAAGTGGTAATTCCATTACCGGAGATTGTCCAACAATACAAAATCGGCGATTGCGACAGATCTGCCTTCTTTCGTGTCATTCAGTCTGTCGGCTCGCATATAAACTCCTTGACGACTATCGCCAGATATACATTGTCACCTTAACCCTTTACAGCACTTCATTCCGCCAGCGAAAGCTCGTTGATCCAGTTCCAAGGATAAGGATTCCCGATCTCCCCGCGCATCTCCCCGCCGACGATTTCCTCCGAACCCGGCGGGTCCTCATTCACAAGCCGGCGGCGTCTCGCGCGGAGAACCTTTGTGCCCTTTACTCTGTCCGACACTGCAATGCGCCATTGAGAGCGGAGGAAGTCTTGAACAATTCCCGGTCATTGTGAAGATTGTTGACCGGCCACCATGCTGCCCAGGGCCGCCCGGTCGCCGTGCTGGCGTGTCCCGGGGCGCTTCGTAGACCAGCGCCAATTTGTCACGCGCCCAACCTTATGGACCTCTGCCTTGCACGGAGTGCAACTCAGAGCCGTCTCGACATCCAGCGATTCCAACAAGAAACAAGTGTCTGCGAGCACACCTCCCGCCTCGAAGAACCCTACCAGCCCAACCGCGGTACAACCGGGAGCAGCGAATGCGACTCAGGCTTCCACGACAGCCCCCGAGAACCAGAATGCCACCACTACTCCCAAGAAGAAGGACTTGCTTAGCGAAGCCACGCTAGCGACCAAGGAACAAAGGAAAGCGGACTGGGCGATCATGAAGGAGATGGCAAAGTATCTTTGGCCAAAGGTGGGAGGACTCGAATGCAAATGCGGCGGAGCTATCCGGAGCTGTGCTAATTAGATACGGTGTAGGACGATTGGGGAACAAAGCTTCGGGTTGGAAGCGCCCTATCTCTACTTATCGGGGCCAAGGTAAGTTGCATGGGGAATGTTGGTCATGCAGACTGGTGTGCTGATCGGGCGCCCCCAGATCTTGAACGTCGAGGTACCCTTCTACTTTAAAAACATTGTCGACTCGATGAATGTGGATTTCGCGACTGTAGGTGGTACAGCCTATACAGTTGCAGGCTCGATGATTATCGCCTGTAAGTCAGGATCTCGCCGCTCAATTGTCCAGGCCTAACCTTGAACTGCCAGACGGTGTCACGAGAATCGGTGCCACTGTGTTCCAGGAACTCAGAAATGCGGTCTTCGCCAGTGTAGCCCAGAAAGCGATCCGCAAGGTCGCGCGAAACGTCTTTGAACACCTGCTACGCCTAGATTTGAACTTTCATCTCACGCGCCAAACCGGAGGATTGACGCGGGCAATTGACCGTGGTACCAAGGGTATCAGCTTCTTGCTGACTTCCATGGTGTTCCACGTCGTCCCTACCGCGCTGGAAATCTCCCTCGTGTGCGGGATTCTGGTATAGCATGGCCCGGTTTTCCTAATTGAATGTGTCAAGGTACTTACTAACCATGACGACAGACTTATCAGTATGGCTTCAAATTCGCGGCGATCACGGCTACTACCATGCTCGCATATTCGGCCTTTACAATTACCACCACCGCCTGGAGAACCAAGTTTCGTAAGCAGGCCAACGCCGCCGACAATCGTGGTGCCACCGTTGCTGTGGACTCCCTGATCAACTACGAGGCTGTCAAGTACTTCAACAACGAGAAATTCGAGGTTGCTCGCTACGACAAGGCGCTTAAGAATTACGAGGATGCTTCGATCAAAGTCACCACCTCCCTTGCATTCCTCAACTCTGGGCAGAACATGATCTTCTCCAGCGCCCTGGCGGCAATGATGTATCTCGCGGCCGACGGCGTGGCCACTGGCACTCTGACCGTTGGTGACCTGGTTATGGTTAATCAGCTTGTCTTCCAGCTCTCCGTCCCTCTCAACTTCCTCGGATCCGTGTATCGTGAGCTTCGCCAGTCACTGTTGGACATGGAAACGTTGTTCAATCTGCAAAAAGTCAATGTGAACATCATTGAGCGCCCCAACGCGAAGCCCCTGGTGCTGAACCAAGGGGGTGAGATCCGGTTCGAGAATGTCACCTTCGGCTACCACCCAGAGCGGCCGATCCTCAAGAACGCTAGTTTTACGATCCCCGCCGGTCAGAAATTCGCGGTCGTCGGGCCCAGTGGTTGCGGCAAATCAACCATTCTGCGCCTGCTGTTCCGCTTCTACGATGTCCAGGAGGGCCGGATCCTCATCGATGGGCAAGACATCCGCGACGTGACGCTCGAGAGTCTGCGCAAGGCCATCGGTGTGGTGCCTCAGGATACTCCCTTGTTCAACGACACAATCGAACATAATATCCGATATGGACAGATCGACGCAACCGATGATGACGTCCGCAAGGCTGCCCGACGCGCCCACATCCACGAACTGATCGAGAAGCTACCTGATGGATACAAGACGGCTGTCGGAGAGCGGGGGATGATGATATCCGGTGGTGAGAAGCAGCGACTGGCTGTCTCGCGGTTAATCCTGAAGGATCCCGAGCTTCTCTTCTTCGACGAGGCGGTAAGTATCATGCCCTTCCAACCAGTAAAGTCGCTTGCGCTATAGGGTTGGGGAGCTAACGGATAACTCGACCAGACCTCTGCATTGGACACCTACACGGAGAAGGCACTGTTGCAAAACATCAACAGTATTCTCAAGGAGAAGCGCCGCACGAGCGTCTTCGTGGCCCACCGATTGCGGACGATCTACGACTGCGACCAGATCCTGGTGCTGAAGGAGGGCCGTGTGGTGGAGATAGGGTCGCACCGCGAACTTCTGGAACAGAATGGCATCTATTCTGAATTGTGGAACAGTAAGTGGAGTTTGTCTTTTTTTTTTTTCCCATGCATCCGCCACCAAGCCATACGAACTCGTTTTGAGCGCTAACGTCCGCCACAGCGCAGGAAATGTCTCTCACGGAAGAGCAGGGATCGGAAAACGTAGAAGAGGAGGAAGTGGAGCAAGACGCTGGCCCGTCCTCCCCCCAGCGACAGAAGTGAGCTCGTGGGCGTACCTTTTTTGTCTGCTTCCTATGGAGATTGGACGACAAGAAACCAAGGCTTACGTAAATATACTTTTTAGATTTAGAGAACACGACTCGCAGCTCAGGCGGTCGTTGAAAATCAGAATGAGTCTATGATCAACTAAAATGGTGCCAGCCTTCCCTTCTATCTAACCCAAACCACCGGCGGGGGTCCGATGGAGCTCCAAGCATTTCGTAAGTTTGGGTCAAGGCTGTTAGTATTGGAGAGCGTTAGGCACGGCTATTGAAAGTCGACCATGGATACCACTTTGCTGGGTACGCCAGTCCCGTTCTGGGGTGGGATACACATGAATCTCTCGTCTTCGTCCAGTCGCGTGTCTGGCAGCAGTAGTTGAACTACTAGGTATGCAGCAACAACTACCAACCGAGCTATTGCCCATTGTTGAAAGCATGTCGAAGAATCACCTGCCGATCTGACCGTTTCCGTCCATGGAACTGCAGGTGTCAACCCGGAAAGAGGCAACGCTAGTTAAGGGAGATTGACCACCGTGCGTTGCAGCGTACGGTAGGGGACGGACCAGCACGTTCGTTTATCCTCCGCAAACACGCATGCAGAAAGGAAAAAAGTTTTCTCGAAGATCGAGAATATGGGGCGCTGGGATACTAGGTCAACTGCCAAGGGTGACTATGGCGAATAGGTTCAAACCTTGCTGGTTGGGTTCCAGCAATTGTGGCATTGTAGCGAGAGTGATTGATTTGAGTTGTTGTGTCGTGTTGGTGTACTGTGTAATTAATAGTGCTGGCTAGTGTTCTACTAGTCAGGGGTTGAAGAGGCAACACGGGCCATGAGGAAGACTGTGTGTTGATTTTGCCATGACGGTTGCCAGTTGACCAAGAACTAAACCCAGTTCAACCCCTGGCTAACCCCACTATAGTTAGACTCAACCCACAACCCACGTTGTTGCAGTTGCCGTTGCAGTTGCAGTTGCAAGTTGCAGTTGTTTCCCTTCCCTGTCCGTCACTGTCGACACTCCCTCACTCCGTCCCGTCCAGACTCTCTCTCTCTCTCTTTCACTTCCGCTTCTTTTCTTCTTCTTCATTCTTCTTCCCCTCCCTTCCTCGTGGACTCGTCATATTCTCTATCCCCCTCTTTCTTCCCCCCCAACCCCACGTTCGTTCTCTACTTATTTCCTTTCGGTTCCTCTTCCGTTCTTTCCAGTCCTATAGTGTTGCCAATAATTCCCTCGAATCTCAACCCCCCCTCAACCTAAACTAGTCTTATCAAT